GGAAGCGTTTTGTGGCCCTTGAAAGCGGTGTTATGTATTTGAACGCGGTAGCTAGGCATCAAGGATATGCAATTGCTATCAAGAGCCACAAGGGCGATAAGCAACGGAAGGCACGGGTCTACTTCAGATGTGCACTTGGACGCACTGTCTCGTCAACCGCTAAGGTCCGTGAAACCTCGACGAAGATGACGGGGTGTCTCTTCAAGATATCACTCAATTACCATCAGAAACCCGCTCGATGGATTGTCCAACAGGACTTGAAGAACCCTGACAAACACGAACACAACCATCCTGCTTTCGACCAGCCACATAATCTTTCAAAAAACCGGCAATTCTCAGACCATGTCATGGGTCAAATTGACACACTATCCTCAGCTGGGTGTCGAGCCTCACAGATTCGTCGTCTCATCAACTTCCCAGCAGGTTCAGATCCTCTAGTTCGAGATATTCACAACGCTCGATATCGGCTGAAGACATCTTGGTTGGCTGGGCGTACACCCATCCAGGGTTTGTTCGATTTGATTTCAGACGCCAATTGGGCCTTTCGTACGATGACGGCACGTGATGGAACATTACAGTCCTTGTTTTTGGCCAGCCCTCAAGCAATCACTATGGCTCGTCGGTTTCACACCGTCATCGGTCTCGACTGCACCTACAAGACCAATCGGTTTAATCTCCCCCTGCTTCATATTGTCGGCACATCCAACACACACAAAACTTTCACTGTGGCCTTATGCTTTATGCACAACGAGGTTGAGGATACGTACGTATGGGCTTTGGAACAGTTGAAATCGGTAGTTTATGATCCAGTTTTCAAAGAACAACCACCAACCAGCCAACCAGAATCAAGCTCTCACTCCGACCCAGACACCTTGGACCTTTCGAAGACATCCGACGCCAACAATTCGCAAGTTACCACTTCAAATTCGATTTCAGTTGGTATCAAAACAGCTGAAGACAAAGCTTTCACCTCCTCCAACAACTCAAAACTTCCAAAGACGTTTTGTACTGATGCAGAGCCTGCTCTGTACAATGCGATTGGGAAAGTTTTTCCAGCTTTGACTCATCTTTTATGCATTTGGCACATCAACTTCAACATAGGTAAAAATTGTAAGAGCAAGTTCACCGGTCCTGAATTCACCGACTTCATGAAGCTTTGGAATCGGTTTATGCAAAGCACGACAAAAACTGAATACAACGAAAACCTTGAGGCAGTCAAGAAGATGGCTCATCATCACAAAGTCTTGGAATACCTGGAAAAATTGTGGCTTTATCGAACTGACAAGTTTGTGGCACTATTCACATCTCAGACCCCCCATTTTGGAAACTCATCCACATCTCGACTCGAGGGCGGCCACCGTCGCCTCAAAGACTTCCTAGAGGGCAACAACAACGATTTTGTCACCTGTTTCAAGGCTTTCAAGCGTGCCGGGGATTCTCAATACAACGAGATAATCATTTCGACAGGAATAGAAAGCCAAAAGACTTTACTCGGCCTACCCAACATGTTCCAGGAACTGAATCGCACAATCTCACATTTTGCGCTGAAAAAAATCAAGGGGCAGTATGATTTGATACCCGATTCTCTGAATAGGACTTGCACGAAGACCTTCCGTGGCGTATGGGGACTGCCGTGTTCGCACGAGATTGCTAATGCCTTGACGGAAACTAAATATATTCCAGCATCCCTTGTTCACCAGCAATGGCATATGTCCATAGAGATTTCCCCACGTGATCATGGAGAGCTACTGAAAGCTGTGCAATCAAAGTTTGACCACTTAATCAACCTGCCCAAACATGCTTTGCGGAAGATTTATGAAGAGCTTGGAAAGCTCGCATCTGGTCGGTACTCACTGGTTCCAATTGCAAACGCCGCAGTCAAAGTCAATCAACGAGGCCGACCTCGTAACAGCCAAAAACGCCCTGCTCCGTCTGAAAAAGGAAAAGCAAAGAATGCACGATGGAAATCGGACTTTGAGATCGAAACGGTCAAAGAAGCAAAAAAGGCTCAACCTAAGAAATGCGGCTATTGTGGCAAGCGTAACCACCACTTAACCTCCTGTCCCCAACGTGCCAAGGATATTCTCAACAATCCAGATGAAGACCTAGCCGACGAATATTCAGAAGATTCCGAATCAGACGATGATGACAGCGCTAGTATTGAGCTCGAAACAACTCACCTCGAACCAACTCCTTCTCAAAAACCAGCACAGATCAAACCATGTGACCCTATAGATCAAGAGGTCAAACATTCTCAAGTATCATCAATTTCACAACAAGGAGAAGGCAAACAATCGGACCTGATGGTATCTCAAGAGATCAAAGCCAAGCGAATTTACAAGTGCAGCTTGTGCAAGCTCCCTAATCATCGAGCCAACCGCTGTCCCACCAAGTCTTTATTGGCTCCCACATCATCATCCACAACCCTTTCTGTGACAGCATCAACCTCGGTCATGATTCAACCATCGACGTCAAACAACAAGTCAAGCACAGCATTGACCTTGAGCGGGTTGACACAACCCGCTCACGAAGATCTTCTGGAAATCGCACTTTCGGACACCAGCAGCATATCTTTTGGGTCTTCTCAGTCGACCTCTGACGGACACGATCTGTGTCCTTTCTGCGATGACCCAATGCCATCAGAGCCTTCGAAGAAACTATTGAGTCTGAAGACGGTCCTTTTTGCTTTGCCCAACATACGCAAGCGAATAGGAGGTCATCGAGATGCTATGGATTTACCTGTGAGTAAGCTTTTGTGTTGATCTCATCGAGATACATTGCTAATCATTCGGGTCACTCTTCAAAACGACAATTTGTGAATTGTAGTTTCCCCAAACTGCAGCTTTTTGTCATCTTCATCGTGAGGAAAAAGACGCGATACCCATGGGGATACGTGAGGGATGGCCTATGCAGATCAACTTCGAGTTATTGGAACAGTGAGTCCATTCTTCACCCTCACAAACTGCAAAAGGTATTGAACCTAATAACCACGGTGTCTAGACGTATTCAGAAACATCAGAATCGTCTTGCCCAGATTGTCAAGCGGGAAATCCCTTTGTCTTTTCTCGATGTTGCCCAATCCCAGTGGAAAACCCAGGGATCACGGATGTTTAGTATGCTTGGCGAGTTTGAGGGATATGAGCTGGAGCAGCCCGGCTAGTGAGTTCAATTTTGACATCCTGTGCTTTTATGTTTTTGATGACTAACTAAACATAACCATTAGTTATGGTCAGATGGGTTTTTTTGTTATGTTCAAGGTGCTGTCCAAGATGTTCTTGGACACGGATTCTGTGACCACACTCAACAGCAAGCCGTTTTCAACGGATTACTTCCTTCGTCGCGTACTGTTGCCCGAACTTGCCCTATCCCTGATTGCCGAAGATGTGGGCCTGCCGGTCACCAATGCCAAAGTCATGATGATTCTCGAACGAAGCCGGGCTTTTGGAGTGGCTGTCTTTTCTCAAAATGACGATGATGTGCCTTTGAAGCTTGGTAACACAGAGAAAACTATTGTAATCTCATCCTCTCAGTCGTCAGATCAAGGAAACACCAACAAATTCAGTTCGAACTCAGACTCGAAACATTCAGCTCACAAAAGCCCTCTGACCTCGCCACAGGACCAAAAGATATTGAAGCAGATTCCACACTTCATGGTTCAATATGTCAACTCGATTTTCGATCCACCACCATTTGGAAACTGTGGGTATTATGCAATTGCCGCAAGTGTTCAATCCTACTCTACAGATTCGTATCTGCATGTTCGAAACAAGTTACTAGCCGAGCTCAGGGCTAATGCAAAAGACCACGAGGCTCTGATTTCCGTTGCTCGGACTCGGCCAGCCATGAAGACACGGAATTATCGCCCGTATGCTGCCGAGGTAGTTCAAGACCTTCTGGTACGACTGGATTGGAAAGGGCTTGAATGCAGTGAGCGATATTGGTTGCGAATGCCGTATTTAGGTTATGTGATTGCGAGTACGTACAATAGGCCATTGATCCAATTGGATCCACTGCCATCCAACTGTTACACGTTTTTTCCTTATTGGACCCAACCCAACAAGGAGATTCCTATTGTACTCGCATTTGTCAACAAACAGCATTTTGTGAGCTTAGCACCTAAGGCGGGCTCGATACCTTTTCCAGAGGTGTATGGTAAGTCCAACAACTCAGCCATGCTTGACACAACTACAATACCGAGTTGGGTCAAAAGCTACCAAGATTGGTTGGATAGCTGGACTAATCACAGACAGTCCACCTAGTTTTACACACTTTCATGTTTTTCTTATCACACTCCTCACTCACTACACATCACACTCGTTACACTTGTCACGCTCGTTATTATACTATTGTCTTTTGGCATCTTGTCTTTCTTTCTTATCATGTGTATGCCCTTTAAGCGTGGCAAAGGAATGACAAATATTACATGGATTTCAAAGTGGTAGTCTACTGAGAGAGAGAGAGAGCCTGTGACAAGATGATGGACGGGCTACCTAGCCGCATCTGAGAGTTTTTGGAGTTGTTTAACCTCAAAGTGCGCGGTTTAATAATTTTTGCTTTGCATCGCAGGTTGGTACGTGTATTAACCCAGTGGAATCTGTGAAAGGAAAGTGACATACGGGCAAATGGGAAAGTGCGCAGAAAGACCTCTCGGAAGAGGTGCAACAAGGACTCAAGAAGACAGGCTCCCCAACGAAATTACCTGTTGGGCAAACAGGACATCGCAGCTGGTCTCTCTTGTCTTGATCTCGAAAAAATTTGTACGAAAATTGTGATAGCAAATTTGTCGTAAAAAGTTCATCATCCATCTTAGCAAAAAATCGTTTTTCATAAAATTTTTTATCAATTCCTTACTACTTTCCGTTACTAGTTAGAACACAAAAACTATGTCTCGTAATAACCTTGTAGTCTGAATATTTTCTTCTATTTTTAGTTATCTGTCTCTTTCAAATTTTTTCGTTTTTATTGAAAAGCACAAGTCATTAGCTAAAAAGAACGCAATTATGCAAAATGTCAACCCATTATCTACTCAAGAAATTAACTCCGCAAACAATGCGACGACTAAATTCGAAAAACTCGAACAAATTCTGTCAAACTACGACAAAGCAGGAGGCAGCAACGTTGTCTCAATGCGAGTTCTTAGGGCATTATTTGCCGAAGAAGTTCCCGTATTCGACGAGAACTTGGAGAATTTCATTTATAACTTCTCCGTGTTTGGACGTGCCGCGATCGAGCTCGACATTAGAGCTGGATGTCCCATCCACAAAATGGTGGGAGGCAACCACGTATGGCCCACATCGGCAAGAAGCCTTATGGAAGCGGAACCCGCTATTCTTATGTCAACCTGCCCGTTCAAATACCCCAAGGGCGAAGACTTTAGGTTCTCTATCTCGGACCGAAAACTGGCCGAAATCAATAAGGCTACTTCAGCTGCCAGACACGCCTTGGATCCTGGCCCATCGTCACTACGTGATAAGGGTAAGAATCGAAAGTCAAACAGCCCAAGACGAGCTCCGCGTCGCCGCAGTCCAGATCGCAGACGTTTCTCCAGGAGCCCCCCACGTCGTAGATTCGCATCCGTCAATCAATATGGTTCATCCCCTGATCCAGAGGACAAGTACTCTAGAAAATCTCGCAGTCCAATCAGGATACCTAGATGCTCTCCTAGCCCTCAAGTCTCTTACTACCGGGACTACAGCCCAAAAGCCTCTGGAAGCGGAAAACGCATGTCTCCACCACGCAGAGACCCTCCATAACATCCGAGGGATAAACGCGCCAGATTCGACGAACCCTCCTCGAGTTACCAACCCACTTCTCTTCTCAATCGAATCGACTCATCAATTTTCAACAGAGTGGACCCAGCCAGAACAGCTAGTCAAATCTCTCATCCGACTCGGCGTTGATCCCTATCTCCCAAGAAAGGCGACGACAACTACATCGAGCGTGCTTTTAAGAAATTCGTCGAGTCTTCAAATAAACCAACAAAGAAACTCGCTTTCCAAGCTTTTGACGACGAAAATTCCGATAATGACGATGACCCTATCATCAAATACTTTCAAAAAACTAAATTCGAATACAAAGAAGATATTAAACGGTCAGCTGAACTCTACAAGGCATGCAGAGCTAGGCCAGAAAAGTGGCCATCATCTCAATCAAAAGACCTCCTTGAGTTTAAATTCGTCGACCTCGAAAAGGTGTATGTCGAAATCTATGGAAAACCTGGAAGCACCAAAACTATCCGACTCAACGACGCCAAAGACCTCGAGTTTGACGAGAAGATCAAAGGTGTCCCAATTAATGATAAGTCTCACTGGGAACACCTCATCAAGATTCTTCATGATGCTTACAGATCAGCTTTCCCTGGAGCCGAGAAAAACATCAGATACTATTTTGAATACATCCTCAAACTTGCCAGCGACCCATCCACAGGAATCCACTGGAAGGACGTTCGAGATCTTGACTCGGCGTTGCGCCTTCAGTTCTCTCGTCAATCCAGAATTGCCTTTGGAAACTGGTCCCACCCAAAGCTTAAGTATTTGGAAAGCAAGATTCTCTACGGCAACCATAGCCGCCTTGGACAAAACTCCAATATCCAAAAGACATCCGAAAATCAGTCTAAGAGCACATCACAGCCTAAGCAGTCTTCCACGAAATCATCTTCTTCATACTCCAACAAAAAGTCCAAGCCTAAAGTCGACAAACCACCGAAATCAAGAATCAACTTCCCATACGACATCAAGAGGACTAATCTTTGGAAAATGGGTGACCAGCCTTGCAACAATTGGAACACTGATATATGTTCAAAATCCGATGAAGAATGCAACCGACGACATCATATATGCAACAAAGTGGGATGCGATTCCGATCATCGAGGAATCGTCGCTCACGCATAGGCCGAATTCCAGGAAATTCCTGAGGGGTTTGGAGATCGCAGAAGACACTCAGCATTACTCAGCTTCTGTAAATTTTTCCATTGAGGCGGAACCTTTCCCATCTGCTCCCCCCATCTCTGACGACCCTCTCGCGGATTACGCCATCAACAAACAACCTGACTTATTCAAAATTATCTGCCCAATCAAACACTCACGCATCAAGAAATTGACTACCAACCACCCAAATCCAAGTTTCGTGAACTCTGTCATAAAAGGCCTTGAGGTGGGTTTCTGGCCCATGTCGACACTACCTTCGGCCAAAACCACCACTTATCCAAACCACATCACGTCTGAGGACGGCCTGCAACTCCTTCGAAAAACTCGCGACAAAGAGGTGAAGTTAGGACGTTATTCAGAAGGCTTTCATTCACCTTTTCGAGGTATGAAGACAGCGCCACTATGCCTGGCCACCAACAAAAATTCAGGAAAAACGAGGATTTGCACCAACATGAGCTTTGGTACCCCATCCCCAAATGACCTGATTGATCGGAACCAAATCAAGATTAAGCTCGACACTATCGCGTCTTTCATTCCGTCTCTCTTATCCCTACGACACCCTCCGAGTATTCCACCAATCAACAACTCAAAGTACTTGTGGGTGAAACCGTCTCAGAAACCTTCGCAACAAGCCGTTATCTGGAAGTCAGATGTCGACTCGGCATTTCGCATACTCGGAATGCATAGGCAGTGGCAGATGAGACAGGCAATTCGCATCGACGGCATGAACCACATCGACCGTTGCGTAAACTTCGGATGCGCAGGATTGCCAAGGATCTGGTGCGGATTCTTCTCCCTCATCCTATGGATTGCCTACTACAAACTAGGCATCACGGACCTAAATTTGTATATGGACAACTCGTGGGGTGCGAGTCACTCAGGAAGCATGGTATCTTTCAAAGCTCACATCATCCCTCTAAATCAGGCCAAATTTTTGACCCTCTTCGACTACTTGGGCATCCCTTGGGCGTGGGAAAAACAAATCTGGGGCCAACAACTTGAGGTCATCGGGCATGTCATCGACTGTGAAACCATGCAAATCTCACTAGCCGAAGAGAAAAAGAGAGCCTTGATTTCCCAACTTCGCTCATTCGCCAATTCGGTTTCACAACCTTTGGTCGAATGGCAAAGACTAACAGGGTGGGCTAACTGGGCAGTGAACACGTTCCCGCTTGGTCGGTGGGCAATTCAATCTTCCTGGAATAAGATCGCGGGAAAAAATCTCAGGAACGCGCATGTCCCTCTCAACAAGTCGACAAAAGAAGATTTAATGTGGCTGGCCGATGCTCTGGAAAAGTGGAACGGAAGACTGATCATGGAGTCACTCCATTGGGAGCTCTCCGCTGCCGATATCATCTTTTTCTGCGACGCCTGCCCTACGGGCGTGGGTATATGGAGCCCAATAACGAACGAGACCTGGGATCTGAACCTAACTCCCCCAGCCAGAGACAATTACTGGGCAGAGCTCCTGGCAGTTGTCATCTCGGTCGACATGGCAGCGTCATCATCAGCAAAAAAGGTTTTGATCTTCACCGACAATGAATCCGTCTGCTACCTATTCGGCTCACATTCACCAACCGATCTGAAAAGAGTCCTATTCAGGCACGCGGCAACAAAAATGCTTGAGCACTCGTTAAACGTCACTGTAAGACACGTTGCAGGAGACAGGAACGTCATCGCTGACGCACTGTCGCGACGAAACATCATTTCGAACAAACAGGCGCCTCCATCACGCGTCCATATTTCCCTACCCTCCATCCCAAAAAACCTGGAAGGCGGTATTCGGCGCGCAAAATAATCCCCTGCTCATAGTTATACAACTCTTGATCAATCTATTTCTCTTTTTATAAAAAAAAAAAAAAAAAAAAAAATCTCTCAATAGATCTCTTTCATTTCCCGTTATTTTTTATTTCATCAACTCACAATGCCAGCAAAAAGATACAAAACGCAGCTCCTATCTTTCGATCAGCGTGAAGCCATGAACGCAAAAGACCGCAATCACTGCCTCAAACCCTCATCCAAAGCTAAATATGACTGTGGAGCTCGCCGATTCATAACCTTCTGCAAAAGCCAAAACGTCCAACCAATCCCGTCCGAAATAAACCTCGCACACTTTATCTCTGTGATAGGCCGCGAGGTGAAACCAGGGACAATCAAAACCTACCTTACCAGCATTGTCCGGCATTACAAATCGCAATTCCCCGACTTAGTAAATATCCGATCTAGCGATAAAATCAAATCATCATTGGTGGGGTGTGAAAAACAGTTCTCACTTCCATCGAAACAAGCTCCTCCGTTTACCTCACTCGACTTGGAGATCGCGTCTAACGCATTCAACCGTTCCTTCAACGATCTTCTCTTCAACCTCATCCTGTCACTCGGGTTCGCCGCTCTGCATCGTTTAGGAGAACTCGTATCCCCAGACGCCGTCAACTTGCGAAACTCCAGAAAATCCATCCGCCGAGCATCAGTCCTAATCTCTCTCGGCGGCGAAGCTGCTACCTATGTTCTTCCATACCACAAGGGCGATCGAAAGTACAAGAGCACTCAAGTAGCTGTTGTAAGTCGTCAAAACAGTCACCTGTGCCCGGTAAAAACCTTAGTCAGATACCTCAATCTGCGGGACAAACTCTTCCCTGCCCAATTACTCCTCTTTGTGAAAGAGGACGGCAACCTTCCTACACGATCATGGTTCATCTCCCGTCTTCAACACGTCTTCGGTTCATCTCGAACAGGTCACTCTCTTAGAGCGGGAGGAGCAACAGCCTTGGCACAAGCGGGCATCGGAATGAAGACAATTCAGATGATAGGACGTTGGTCCTCCGACGCGTACGAACTCTACGTTCGGAATCACCCTATCCTAAACATGCGAAGCATGATCGACCATATGCCAGAAGCCGGACTTACGCTGGGAGAGCAGATCCTATTTCCTGGACAAGCTCTTGTGCGTATTCGTCCCTCCGAATGGGCAGACATACCTCTACCATTTTGCAGTCCTGACCTGGTTCTCTTTCTTACAGCCAACGTCTGAAAGTCACAGGCTCAGCCAAAACAAGGTCGCCCGGATCAATCCCGCGACCAGCTCTCGTGAGTGACTCGTCATTTTATGACTTCATTGACAAGAAGCTGACAGTCTCTCTCTCCCAGAAGACGCTCCACCCCTTTCTCTACAAAGCTCTCCACACCTGTCGTCGTTCCAACGACGCATAGGTGAGCTTCGAGTCAAATGGGCAGTAGTCAGCTCGCTAATGATGATTCATATCAACAGATATCTCATCGAACCGCTCCCTCCACAGCGGGCAGAGGACCCTCATAGAGGACATCCCCCACCAGTATGCTCTTTCCAGTGGAAATCGCATCTGCAGTGCATAATAACTGACGCTCTACCTACACGTGTAGGTCAGCTCGCGTAGGACTGTCGGAGTCGTACACCAAGCGGGACCGCCGCACATCAAGCTCATTCACCTTACCATCACCGACTCTCTACATTTACGAGGGCGGTAGTACTCCCAGTCCGTTTCTTTCCAATGCCCGGCTCCTAGGCCCGACGCATCTGCAATCCAGGCCTCAGGCACCATGAGTAGTCACACGGTCCTTTGCCCAACGTCCTGAAACTGATTCCTTTCAAAACCGGGCATTCCCGGTTTTAAAATGGAAGCGGGATGCGAAAGTTGAAAGCCCGCTGGGTTATCCGGTTTCCGGGCTTCGGATCTTGAAAAACGGGCGCCAAATAGTGAGATCCAAGAACAAATTAAAGAACCTAAAATCGAATTTGAGAATTTAACGAATGTTATTAACAAGTCCAACTGGGATAGGTAAAACTTGTTCTATTTATGCTCTTGCAAATGAAATTGGTTGGGATGTATTTGAATTGAATTCAGGAGTTTTAAGAAAACGGAAAGAAATTGATAGGTAACAAGTTATTGGGTATCATGCATGATGACTTATTCAGAACTCGAGTTCTTCTCAGCTTAAAATACTTACAATTAAAAACCTTTGGTATTTGACAAACCATTGGGAAGACCAGCCAGTCGATGAAACCGATGCATCACATGAAAATAGTGAGTAAAGACTCAACTTGAACTGTTGATAAATTTTGATTGGATGCACTAACCAAAGCTTCTTTGAAATAGGTTTTTGGCATTGGAAACCTGTAATTCCAATTCCAATGAATCATTTAACATGGTTAATCGAATTTGTCGGTATAGGCTTAACAATCTTGAATCTTGCTTTTGTATTTTCTCTGGGTGTTTCCACTGAATTCATCAAAACAATCAAAGCTCTCAAAGATTTAAAATCACTCAGAATTTCACGCGGTATTCAGGAACCTTCAAAATCTGGAATTATTGATTCAAAATCAATATCAAAACTCTTCTCAGCAATACCTAAACTCGATTGTCTAACATTTCGATATGATTCAATCAAAAGCTTAAAACTAAAACCTACAGCTTTATCAAATTTAAGTTGCTTTGCTTTTACAGACTGGGCAGAGTTATGATTGGCGCATCAACTTTAGCTTTTTCTTTTGGTCTAACTGCACCTTTATTGGGACCGCTTTGTAGTAAAATGTTTTTAGCTTTCCCTGTGATAAAAACGTTTCCATTCATTTACAAAAAAGAAACAAGATATGAATTAAGAGCAAGAGAGAACGAGTGAGTTAATTATTATTTTGATTGATCAAGTGATTGTTTTGCATTAGATTTTGAAATCTTGGTATGATCTGATCAAGAACAGGTTTATTGGAAGGGAGTCATTTCATTTTGAGAAATCCATTTGGTTCATGGACCTTTTGATGGCAACTGCAGGAGTAGGACAATGTTGTTGTCCATTTGAGGAAGTGAAAGAAGATGAGATAGCAGATGAAGTTCCTGTCATACTAGAAGTAGAAGCAATCGGTCTAGATGAAGGACCTGCATTGGGTTGATGTGGTTGATGTCGATGTTGTGATGAAGGTTGAGGAGCATGTCTTGAAGAAGAAGGTCGAGTCATTCTTGAATCTCTAGAATCTGAGGCCATCATTTGTCTTGATGTTGATGCCGAAGGAGGAGCACACCATGTGTCGGACGTAGACAACACCCTGGTACAAGCAGATGAGGATGGACGCGAATGAGACTCAGTGATAGTGCTGCCTTGATCGCTATTACCATGGGCTAAGTTAGTCGATTCTGAACTTGGGCCTGCAGCCTTTGATCAACCGGGCTGACGGCTACAGGCAACGGGGACAGAGGAATTAGAAGCAGTTCGATCTTCACCGATTGCGGCCCGACAGGCAGCGATAGTCAAAGTGAATCAGCCTAAAGGTAAAGAGACATCAGCTATATTCTAAGAAGATATCCTCAAAGCGTAAATGAAAGCTTGACTAACCCAAGCTGGTAACTCATGAACTTTGCCAATCAATTGAGTCAAGACTCTTTTCCACTTTGTAAACCCATCAAGATCATCCGCATGAAAAAAGACTTCTGTTCCATCTTTAAATACCAATCTAAAAGTAAATGGTGGTAAGATTTCACCTTGATCTGAAATCAAACTACTAACTACACTTGTCGCATCAGGTGAACCAGGTGCAGCTACACCACATTCTTCTAATTGTAAAACTTCTGATAATTGAATTTCTGCTGATAATTCATTCATGATCTCGTTATAAGCAAATAATGAACCACTGGTGGCTTCGAACGTCCGACGTCACCATGTCTAGGAACAAAAGAGAGAACAAAAGTAAGCAAATATGACGAGATAAGTCCTCAGCCCGCTGAGAGAATTATATTTCAATTAATTTGTACGTGATCTCAGTGAAGAAATAGGTTGATCATCTGTTTGAGTTCCAATCGTAATCAAAATTGGTTTAGGTCGTTTGTGGGTTAGATGTTTGGTAAAATTCAAGGTTGAATTTGGATTTAATTTCTGTTTCTGTTTTCGTTTTCTAGAGTGTTGTTTGAGATGAGGAGTAGGAGTTGATGTTTTAATGATTGGTTCTGATTTTAATTCTGATTTTGATTCTGGTTTAGATTTGATCCAAGTTTTGATTTGATTTGAATGTTTGGAAATGGTTGATTTAATTTGATTTGAATGTTTGAAGATGAACAAAGTGAAGTTTTTTTTGATTTGATGGATGAAATGTTTCTTCTGATGATGATGGGTGGTAGTACAAGTAGTAGTTGATGATTTGGAGGATGATGATTTGTTTTGTGATTTGATTAATTTTAATTTTGAATTTTGTTGAATTTGAAGGATT